GCTTCCATTCTATTTGTTCTAATCTTTACTCAGGACCACTTATTTTAATTATGTTGGTTCTTCACAGCCTATCTTTCCTTCATATATAAAATGTTACAGCATATCAAAACCTTGATGGCCATTTTATCATGTATCCCTTCTCCCTAGGATGTCTGCAGAAGATGAGAACATAGAAAACAAAAGTATCAATGACATTGCACTCAAATACTTCAAAAAATATAAGGTGGAAATTTCAGATGCAATAAGAACAACATTTCCTTTCCTCGAACTTCTCCGTGACCATGAGTTCATCACCAATGAAATGTATGAAGTAAGTGAGGTTTATTATGTCACAATCTGATAAAACAACCCCAAACTAAGTTATACTTTGATATCCTGGATTTAAACGTCAGAGCATAACTGGGCAACTGAGGAGTTGCCTGTGAATGGAGACCTTCCCAAGCACTGATATTAAGTGTTCCTATAAGGTCAAAAGAGAGAAGAGAAGCAGTCATTACTGGAGATAGTCCTGATTCTGACTGAAGGAACAGGCTCTGTGGTGCCCCCTTGGAGCTGGGCGAAAAGCACTGGAGATAGGCTGATCTGAAGTGGGTGTACAATGCCTTCTAGAAATTATATATACAGTATAATATAAACTAGAAGTTAAACATAATATTAATGAATGGGTGAATAAGTTGAATGAATTCATTTAATAAAATAATAATTGACATAACATTTCATCTACGTGAACATCAATTTAAATACTTAATACAAAGAAAATTAAGATCCACAGAGAATTAATGTGGGGCAAATTTGAAAGTAGATGCTTGCTATTCTTTCAACAACAGTTTTCAGTTTCCTTTTTGTTTTTCCCCCTTTTCTTTTGGTATTTATGGAGTCTTAGAATTTTGGTTAATTTTAGTGAACGACGTAGGTGGAGATATAGAGATGCAAGTCTTCACTTTCCCTATGCATAGGCTTTCTCTATGGCAAAGCTCACAGGAGCTTCCAGGCCAAGTCAGTCCTGGGGAAGGGACAAGGGTTGTCCAGTCAGTAGAATAGCATCTCATCACCCACTAAGTCTATTCCTAAAACATTTAGCCAGGCCCTGAAAGGGCTACATATTACTTAACTTGAAACTATTTTTGTTCTTCCTAATGACGCCTTATTCCATCTCATGTAAACAAGGGTGAGGAGCTCAGATTCACAAATGAGTGTTTTCTAGGAGGAAGGATTTAGTTGTTCCACTTAGTAGCCACACAAATATAAATTCTCAACCTGTATGTGAGAAGATACCTATGTTGGGAACTTATAATGCATTAACAATTAAATCACATTGCTTCTAGGGCTTTTCTGTAACTTGGAAATCTGTATTTATGTTTTCTCCATTCACTATTTTTAAGGATTCTCAAGAATCTTTTAAAAAATGGTGTTCTGTACATCTAGTCATATATAATGTTCTCAGTGAACTGGAGAAGAAATTTGACATGTCTCTTCTGGGAATACTGTTCAGCAGGACCATCATGAGGAATTACCCCGATTTACTTCGCATTTATAGAATATTCAACAAAGGTAATTATGTTTATTACCTACATTTTGATGTCCCGAGCAAGTTTATTCCCACAGGTATGTATTGACTGTTTACCATGTGTCACACAAGGTGCTTGGCAGTGTGGATGTAGCAGTTAAGAAAAGACATATAATGAGCCTCTCAAAGTTTATGATATAATGGCTAGAATACAAACACCCAGCAGCAAATCTGCTTAACTAGGCATTTAGAGTCACAGGACTACCAGAGCCATAGGGACATCAGATTTACTTAGAAGAACACATGACGAGAAACACAACATCCCCAAAGGGCAGCATCAGTTGCTCCTCTTTTATGGGACCATTTGCAAAGTTCCACACAGCAGTCCACAAAGTTGAATACAACCTGCCTCAAGTGATGGATTAGATATGGGTGCTGGATCCACCCTGATTTAGCTACAGCATGCACAGGGGTGTCAATATCTCATGGAACAACTCTGTGGTCATATCTTTTAGAGATGGCTCAAGGAACAGTTGAGTTACAACAGTCACCACGTTGAAGGAAGACAAAAAATGGATTATAGTTAGTATCTAGTCTCTCCCAGGCCACATGAAATTTACCTACCTGCAGTCACTGGTCATTTTTAACTCTAAGCATAGTGTTGGCCTACTAACACAGAAGAAAGACCACCATCATCAAGTATCCAGATTAATGAGCAAGGTCAAATTTGCTCTTGAAGAAGTAGAAATGGTTTTATTAACTCATTCTCCATAACAAGTGTGATAAACAATCAAATAATCACAAAACCAATTGCTCTGCCAGAGATGGTTTTATACAAAACTACTGGTTTGATTCTCTATTTTTTCCCTGAGAATGCATGATTTTATATTTTTTATTGGTTCTGAGTAAAGATATCCTCCAATAATTTTTGTTTGACTTGCCTAGAAAACTTTTTATTCTATATACTTTTGGTCTCAAAAAGATCTCCAAGTAACTCTGGAGAATCGAAAAGAAAAAAAATGATATGAACTGAGGAATGTAGTGCCATGGGAGCAAGCATAGAGTGTTAAAGAGTCCATGTGTCTGCAGAACAAGGACAAATTAGATTAATCTCAGAGTGAGAAGCAGATTGTGGGAGTTTATTCAAATGGGATAAGTATAAAAGAAGGTTTTAGAGAGGTCTAGCTTCTAAAGTTAAGTAATTTAATGTTATTTACCACACAGTAAAGAGAGAGTACAGGTTTATAAGGTTAATAAGTACAGGATTATTGCCCCAGGAGGTACCCCTGCCATCAGCCCTTAGGCATATTGTCTAACTGCTTCCCTCCATCTCTTCCCCGGGTGCCTCCAGAGACTTGCACCAAGGATTACAGGTGTATTACTTTCCTCCATATGTTTGTTGAGCTACCTACATGCAGGGGCCCAAGGCTGGTGCTGTGTTCTCCTTTTTTTGGTAACCTTCCAAGATCCCTGCTCCACGTATCTTGCGATGTCTGCTTGTGCCATAATATTCACACCCTGCTTTCATCTTCAAAGAGTGCCTTTCCTTTGTCCTGGGATCTGGGTGCCCCTGGGAAATCTTTCTAATTGGCTCCCATGTCCTCTGATTTGTCTCTTTGGGAAGCACTTATCCTCCCTGACTCAGTTAAGCCAAAACCTTCTCTTGTCCAGCCACATTTTTAAAGATTTGGAATTTTATCCTCTTTTATACACATAAACCTCTACAGAATTTTTGTTTTCCTCACAAGGAAAGCCCTCTCTTTTTCTTTACTGTTAAAACAGTTAAGTAAACACATTTCAAAATAGGGAGTACATTATTTATTTTGATATATGCTTTCCTGGCCAGCTGAAATTTTTTACATGAGTAACAAGCTCATGATGCTGCCACAACTCTTTTATCTTGAAATTCAAGTGGCTCCTTTCTGTGTGGGAAGCATAAGGGCCCCTTTGTTGGGTATTCTCTTTTCTGTCCCAGGGATGAAGGGTAAACTTTACCAATAGGATTGGGACCCACTGAGCACTGAGTGATACAAGCGGTGGAAATTCCTAAACATGTAATTTGAGATGACAACACTCCCACTCCATGAAGTGATCTCTAATTGTCTTCCTCTTATGCCCTCTCTTCAGTGATACCAAAGATAGAATTCCTTTTAGAAAGTGATAGAGAAGAAATCGAGGAGAGGCTTAATAATCAACAAAGCCTGGAACAAGGTGATTGCAAACACATAAAAACTGATTCTCTTCTGCTAAGAAAAGGAGAATGGGAAGTGGGCCTGAGTTCTGAGTGGAGTTTGGGAATCAGGGAAGACCTGTTGAAGAGCATAGAGAAGGCAGGGAGGGCTGTTTGTATGAGAGTCTGACCAAGGGATGATCCTGGAGGAGGAGCTCTGACAAGAGATCCTGGGCCCAATAACCAAGACAGAGGAATGGGAACCCAGTGTGTCAGAAAATCAGATTAAAAGACGATGCTAACCTGGAGGTAACTGATTTAGAGAGACCCTGCAGGAGAAGATGAGTGTGGAGCTGTGAAGAGCTAAGAAATATGGGCCCAAGGTCAACATCAGAGGAGATATTCTGGATGATGGTAGAAGAAGGGACTGATTTAAATGTGGGAGATGCTGTTCAAGAGCAGGAATATTCAAGGAGATGGGCAGTCATATAGGGAGAGAAGAGAGGAAGTGGTGAGATATGTACGAGGAGATGTGGGTATTTTGAGAGATGAAGGAAGAAAGAGAAATGAAGGACAGAAGAATGGGGTAAATTACACAGCGATGACAACCATATTACTAAGAGCTCACTTATAGATCATTTACTCTGGCAGTTGTGGGCTTAGTGCTCACAGCTGCCCTTGAGGGGAAGTATCACTCTTTGTCCATTTGCAGAAAAGGAGACTGAAATCTCAAGAGGCCATGTATGTAGTTGGCCTGAGGTCAAATGAAGTACGATGAATCCAGACTTTCTGAACCCAGAGCTTGTGTGCTTAACCCTATACACATCCAGATAACCTCATGAAAAAGACAGAATTATGAGTCAAAAGAAGGGAAACGTGCAGAGAGAAAGATACAGAAAGAAGAATATCAGGAGCTAGAGAAAACATAGGAGAAGTAGACATTGAATCTCATAAAAAGGCCAACAAGACAGAGAAACAGACATGTATTTGGAGGGTGTGGTGTGAAGGAGGCTTGGACAAGGAGACATGACTTTGTAGGAAGTCAGATAAGTCTACCAATCAGGAGTATACCTGGCAACAGAAACAGATTCCCTATGGCCATGGGTGACAAGAAAAGCCATTGCTGTTTACTGAGTGACTTGTGGATTATCTCAGTGAGATGGCCTGGCTAAGGACAGAGGGCAGCTGATGGCAAGAGTTGGGTGGGATCCTCCAGGTCCAGATGGGCTCTGTATTGATACCTGGGGGAAGGGATCTTGAACTCCTACTTTATAAAGACTAAATGAGATTAGGGGAGAATGGCATAGCTTATACTTCAATTTTTGAAATAAACCTCTCATTTCTTCCCCCAGGAACTGGTGGTACTTCATATCAAAGACTGATGTGGTTAGGCCCAGATGCCTGTAACTACAAAGGTCTGTTCCTGTTTACTCTTCTGTGACCCTTTGCTTTCTTGTCCCATCTGGCAGGTGCTATGGTAGGGGGCTGCTTCTTTTTAGTACTAATTGCCCAGAATAGTCAGTCTTTGCATTGGCAATTTTGCCAAGGATTTATAGATAACGGAGTCTTCATTTTTCTGGTTGCCTGGGAGAGTCGCTCCTTCCATACTCCTGAAATGCACTGGCTACCAGCTCCTGACAGCCTGGGCCTGGACGTAATGCCCATGCACCTGGCTTCACAGTTTTCTGCCTCTGTCTTGCTTGAATCTGGCTGCAGCCTTGCTTTGACATTATGTTCAGTGATGGCCAACACTGCCATGAAGGTGGTTGGGTAGTGGTGATGAGTGTGTTCCCCCTAGGCCAGGATCTCTCACCTGTTGAGTCCCTCACACAGGACCATGGATGCTATGTGCCTCCTGAGCAAACCCTCTCCCATCATCTCTGGGACAACAGGCCTGAAGCTGCTCTAAAAACAACATAAAAGTCATTATTACGTAGCTTGTACTGGGATGTCTTATTTAAGAAAGGATGTTCTAAATTAGTAATACATTTTTATAAAAGAAAAAAAACCCCCAACCCTTTAGAATGTTTTGAAAGCACCACTATAGTTTTAGCTATTAACATTTAGGGAAAAAAAAGTTAATATTTAAGAATATAAAATATCTAACATGCATCAATCCATATTCTTAGCAGTTCACTTACAAGGGTAGCTGGTGGGTATGGGGAGGTGTGAAAGGAAGGAATAATGATGAATAATGAGCAGAGAAGGGATTCAGTGTGTGTGCGCACAGGTATTAGGTTTGGGGGAAGGAGAAAATGATATTATAACTCTAATGATGCACAACAAACCACCAATAAATGTGTTAAGTGTCTGTCTCAGCTGGGACAGTTGACTGTGACCAGCACAGGCAAGGGAAAAGCTATGCTTCATGCCCCTTCCCCAAGAGGAGGCTCCAAGGAACTGTGGATGTGGCACAAAACATGCACCAGGGCCAAGGTTCTATGTTAAAATTGTGGGAATTAATATTTAAATCATCTTTACATAAATTACTTTGCTTAGAAAAATAGCACTAAATGAAAAAAATCTAAGCTGCTCTGAAAAAATATATTTATCTTTTCATACACTAGTGAGGTTTGTGGGAACAGAGTAGGGTGGGTCAATGGAATAAAACATGAGCAGAGGAGGCTCACCTTGGGGAAGGGGGTATGCTGGTCCTGGGTGGTTTACTCAGGGATTCATTCCTTATGGGTTCCTGCTCTGCTCTGCCCTCTATCTCTGGCCACAGACTCTGCATACTTGCTTGTCATCTCCCTTGCTACTGCTTACTGCTGAGCTCCTAACCTGGGTGATACCAGCAAGAGAGTGGAGAGGGGGAGCAAGGGAGAAGCATGGTATTTCCCCATCACTGTCTTGGGCAGCAATTCTGGCATTGCATCTCCCATGACTCTACCTCCCACCAAGCAGTCCAGCCATGGTTCAGCTTCCACCTATCCAGTGTCATTAACACATGAGCTTACCCTAGATCCCTCCCATAGCTTCCTGTTGACTATTCTTTGGGTTGCCAAATCCTGCATTTGGAATTGTCAGCTCTACCATCAGCTGTATAACTAATCCCCTGGATTAAATTCCCTCCGATCCAAAAGCTTAGAGAGCTTTGTATTTTCCTGTTAGATTCTAATTGATTCAGGGAGTGACTAAAATATCTATGAATCTAAACGTGGTCTAGATACAGCTCAACCTGAACGTGGACCCTTAGAGCTCCGCCATGACACACCAGAGATAAATGCAACTGAAACAGATACAACCAGTGACAATAAGGATGCACTAAAAAGCCAACAATCAAATGAACAACGTGCCCAAGAGTCTAAGACAGCAGGTAAGACTGAGTGACTGGGTTTGATGTGTGTGGAGGGGAACTGGCAGGTGGAGGGATTTGGTATTGTGGGTTAGGCACAGGGAAGACTATGGTGATGATTGAGTGCTAAAAAGACAAATATAAAGAAAGACAAATTAGATGTAGAAAAGGCATTCACAGTTCACAGGAATAATTAAGAAACAGAAATAGAAAAGAAGAAAACAGAAAACTTAACAGAGAATGGATAAACTGAAAAAATCCAGGAGGGCCACATGCAAGGAGGATCTTACTCTCAGGACCTTCTTGTGTTCTGGGCACCTACCTAATGGGTCTAGGGTGAAGTACTGTAGAAAAGAAGTATAAAGAGAGAAAAATGCTGAGGGCAATAATAGCAATAAATAGAAAAAATAGGGGGAGATACAAAGAGAACTATGTCGAGAAGGAATAAAGGACAATGAATGAAGACCTGGCAGAGGGTGAACCAGGTAGAGAGAGAGAGAGGGCCAAGCATTGTCTGGTTTGAGAATCACCACAAAGAAGGAAGGGATGTACCTAACACCATTAAGAAGGAAATGTGTCCACAAAATAAAAATGGCCCTGAAACCCAGTCAGATAAAAATAAGCCTCTCCCCTGGACAGTAAAACATGTACAATTAAGAGAGGCACAAATTGCCTGGCATTGTGGCTCAGTGTCCACCCAGAAACCAAGAGGTCTCCGGTTCCATTCCAAGTCAGGACACATGCCCAGGTTGATGGTTGGATCCCCAATAGGGTTGTGTGCAGGAGGCAGCTGATCGATTATGTTTCTCTTGCATCGATGCTTCTACTTCTCTATCCCTTTCCCTCCTCCTCTCTCTAAAAATCAATAAAAACATTGAAAAAAAAAGAGACACAAAGAAAGGACACAGTTGAGGAGCAGGAAAGGACAGCAGTGGGGGAGCTTTCCTCTGCAATGGAATTAGAGGAAGAAGGGCTTGTTGATTGTAGTGAGGGTGCTCACTCCCTTAGGGAAGGCAAATGAAATTCTTCATTTATTACAATTTTGTCCAGGAGCAGAGCTACTCCACCAGGGAAACCAAAATACCTCCTGCTCTGTAAACCCAATGGGTATAGAGAAGGAAAAGTCATATTTTCCTTCATATTTTTAAATTCAGGAGTTAAATCTGAAGCCCAAGCAAGGACTGACTGTAACCAAGTGTCTGACAGTGTATAGGTAAGGCTGGCTGAAAGAATGTGTGATGTGGATCCTGGATCCAGGCAAGGGTCTGGGACATGTCATCAGGGCCCATGGAGACAGTCCTGGTGACCTTGGTTAGAGGTAGAAAGGGGAAGGAACAAGTGCCTTATACTTTGAGATCAACAGAAAAATATCCCTAGTAATTGGAAAAAATATCCAAAACAGAAATGGGAACTTTAAATATTGATATCAGAGTGTATATTTCTATATTCAAAGAAAGGAAGGTATTGCAGTAAGGGTTAAAGAAAAGGGAATATTTCAGAGAGATAAGATATCCATGAAAGGGTATGAAAAAAACACACACACCCAAACGAAGACAAGGAAAGGCATAAAGAGATACCTTTGCCAGAAACAGGCATATGTAGCAAAAATGAATTGAACCAAGAGACTTTGCTTGGGGAGATGTGCAATTGATGCAGTGTGCAAACCAATAAATTAAATTTAAAATGATAATAAGTAAATAAAAATATTAAAAATATATAATTTGATGCCATTTCTAAAGTTTGGCTTTATGTATGTAGACTTCTCTCTGAAATAGCTTTCTAGCTTAGTACATATTTAGAGATGTTTGGAAATGATGCAAAGAAAGAAAGAAAGAGGTAGACTGAGGGTGGAGATACTAGATAGAAAGAGAATGGAGGTAAGAAGTAAAGTGAAGATCCGAGTTGAGGTAGAATGTGGATGTGGATAGCAGGTTGAGCAAGCCGAGGGGCGGGGCATAGAAAAGTGCTGCAGGATGGGCAACGCAGCCCCTGTGCATGAACTTCACAACCTTCTGGGTAGGACCTGGAGCAACCTGCAGGTCACACACATCAGGCACAGACCAGAGGGACCTGAGATAACTTGGCTTCTAGGTCTTCCTAGTAATCTCATGAACGGTTTCCAACCGGGGGCTATGTGGCCCCACCCCCAAGACACTAGGGTTTTTTCTTCTTCTAATATTTGCAGTGATCAACAGTCAGGACTTTGAAGAATTTACTGATGAAGATGAGCCTCCCAAAGGTTCCACCTCAGCATTGAAAAGGAAGCCAGGTGAGGAGGTGGGAGTTCAAGGCTTGGGGTGCAGGAACCTCAAGTAAGAGGCACTGTTTCCTAAGGCATCAATTCTGAGTTCATCCTATACCACAGACCCTGTTTATCCTGGAATCCCATTCTCTATGTTTATTTTACCTGACCTTTGGGAGGTGCAAGGTAATAAGAAATCATTATATTTATATTTTTTAAAAATATGTGGACTATTAATCCATAGGTCTTATAAATCAACCAATGCACCCACCTATTGATTATATAGTAGAAATAGGCTAGCGAAGTAGTGAATTTATTTAAAAACTAATTCTGTGACAATAAAGTGTTGAGTTTATACAGTGATTTCTACAGAGAAGAGAAAGCTAAATATTTCTTTATTAGAAGGTCATATTGTCATCTAATCACAAAGTCTGAATAGTGTTGAGGGTCAATTCCTCCAGCTCTCCTGTGTTAGCAGAAATGGATAAGGTTTTTTCAAACCCAAACTGTTGTTTTTTAGAGAGTTCTCCAGCAAGTCATGACATATAGAATGACTTTTCAAAGTATCTTTGCAAATAGTGTCTTACTTTTTCCTTTACAACAGCCCTGAGGAGTGTGCAAGATGGCCATTATTACCCTTGTTTGTAGATGAGAAAACAAATCATATAAATGTTTCAAATCTTCCACAGAGTCTCATGGAAAAAGGGAAAGACAAGACTAGCTTCCTGGATTTTGTGTTATTTCCTTTGTAAACTTCTGGAGCTCAAAACAGTTACCAAAATGTTGTTTCCTCAATCCTGTGTATAGCATGAGTGGTCATCAGATCTGCAGCACTTTAGTTTACAAAGTGGTGATTGCTTTTCCCTTCCTCCTTTCCCAGAAGGATTAGAAACATGTCTTTTGAGCTAAACCCACTAGGAAAAGAGAAAAACACAAATAAAGATGTTACCTAGTCTTGATCTTACAACAAGACAATATTGTAAATAATTCTTTTATTCTAATAGCTCTCAATATCTATCAATGTAAAAACCTAAGTTTCCTTCAGTTTATAGAGAGTGCACATTGTGACTTGTGGCTTAGTGTAGGCAAAGTGCTCTGAAAAGTGGTCCCAAAATAGGGCTATGGCTCAGACACCAGAGATTATTTCGGAGTACCAGGGGGTAGAAGAGGCTCCCTACCAACAAGTTTCTTAACATGAGATTTCCAAGGTCTCCCCACAAAGAAACAGCAGATGAAGGAAGTGTGAAATGGCAATAGTAGAATAAGAGGTAGAAAAGAGAGAAGTGTAGGAAGGCCAAGTTCAAATGGAGTACAGGGGCTCTTTGTGATTGACTTGTCTCTGCTATGGGGACATGAAATAGAGCATCACTAACCTACAAGGCAGGTGACATAAAGGGACAGACCAGGTGTCCTGTGTGCAGGCCATGGTATACATGGGTTTTTTAAAAAATTTAAGTTGTATTAAGAAATTCTATGCTGCATTGGTTCCCTGGTCACACAGTGAGACACCTAAGAATCCTACTCTTTAGTACTTGATCCCTTAGACTCTAAGGCTTAGAATCAAACAGAGAGGAGAGAACCAAGAATACACCTATTCATAACTATAAACAGTAGTAGATAAGATTGTATTTCTGGACAAATATCCAGAGTCTAAATCCGGAGCTCTGTTTTCATGATGAATCTTTTTCGGAGGTTCCCTATAAGCATTGATTCATTACTTCTGGGATACCATTTTAAGCATTTAGCTATTTCAGTTGTATTGGAATATGGGAGGAGGCAAGAGGCATTATAAGTGATTGTTTGACTGGATGAGCACAATCAATTGATATATTGAAAAAGAAGCAATATTGCACTAGTAAATAGCAGTCGTTTTTACTAAACACTATCATTTATTAATACCAAAGAGTTTTTATTCTATAAGCAGAGTGAGCACAATATTTCACGGTTGACAATAGTGTCATTAATACAAAACTTAGAATATCTTCAAAGTATAATTTGTGCTAACATTAATTACTTCTGGAAAAAATGGTTTAGACCAACTACTTTCAAACTTAAATGATACTTAGCTGTTTGACTTAGATTTTGATTTGTCACAGGGCTTTTGTGAAAAATTTCATTCTTTCACAAAACCTTAACAGGGAGATAGGGTAAGTAGGTTATCCCAGCATTCATAGTGGAAGAAACTGGAGATGATAATGTTTGAGGGTCATTTACAAATTCACATGGAAAGTAAATGGGAGCACCAGGCAGGAGCCCAGCATTATGGTGCTCAGGGGAGCACCAGAACTGGGTTCAAGTGAGAGAAAGAGGAATATGATCATCTCAACACTGACATTATCACAAACCCTATCTGCTGTGTGAGTTGTCATAGACTCTGTAAGACCACTGCAAACAAATACAGTTCTCTCCCTTTTACTTTATAGAGTCCATGGATTTCAGAAAATCACCAACCTCTGGAAAAATACTTTGCAAAACAGGTAAGAGCAAGCAAATAAGAGCTTTTCATGGTGACAACTGAATAGTGTTTACTACAAAAGATACATTCTAATTTTTGCTTCTTCATTCATAGCAAAATAAATATTTGTGTTAATATAAGTTCATATTTTTTTAAAATATATTTTATTGATTTTTTACAGAGAGGAAGAGAGAGAGATAGAGAGTTAGAAACATCGATGAGAGAGAAACATCAATCAGCTGTCTCCTGCACATCCCCCACTGGGGAAGTGCCCACAACCCAGGTACATGCCCTTGACCGGAATCGAACCCGGGACCTTTCAGT